ATTTCACCAACGAATAGTGAGATTGACCGTCACATTATATCGCCCCCACGGCTGAAAGGGCGAGCATGTTTGGTGGGATGGGGATTCGAACCCGCGACCATCAGATGGCGAGTCGAGCGCTCTAACCACCTGGCCATGCCGGGCCCCAGCTTTAGATACTAACTGTATCTTTTTTAACAAATATGATCTTGCAATACTGTACTTAGTACTCTGGAACTAGTATTTATAGAAGTACATATATTTGATATTTTAGTATTTATCATGATTATATAATGTTATTATTGTCATTGTTAAGTTTCAAAAATATACAATATTTTTTTCTGCTCATGTTTACCATACCGATCAGCATGAAAGCAATTATCAAAGAACGTAATTATGCACCAATCAATTTTGAGTGTAATTTTCATTATAGATTAATACACATAATATTATACAGAAACTTATTCTGACTTTTTACGCTCAAAAACTCTGTAGTTAAGGCTTAACACATCACTTGTTATTTTTAAGCTGAATACATCTAGAGGCTGCCACATGTCGTTTGTGGTACAACCCGAAGCTCAATGTTTGTAATAAAACGTGATTTTCAGATCTCATAGTAACAATGCTTTGAAGATTACTATTGTTTTCAGACTAACTTGAGATCATTTAACCTTGTTGATTTGCTTAAAATAAATTCATCAGAAATCAGGTATCTAGCACTCTTTAAATAAAATAAGATAAAAGTAGCATGAGCGAAAGAAATCATTATTTCGTTTATTGATTATATTGAATATGCAAATCACCCACAACAGATATATATAGTCGAGGTGGAACAGAATGCATCAGAACTACATTCTGACACCGTTTGTTTGGCGTTACGTAGGAAGTATGGTACTACAGAAAATTAATTGCTTTTGAGAAAGGTATGTAACAGTCTTTTCCGGTGTAAAATATTTATAAACTCTAATCATAAATATGCGTTCAGGTCAGGGATTTATAACTTAAAAGATAGGAACTTATATTTAATGGCATTAAAAAAATATGGACCATCCATAACGAGATCTGCAACAGTCGTACCCAGTTATAATAAGCAAAGTGCATCTTGTAAATTTTGAGAATCCACGAAAGTCAATGGCAAAAATCGTCTACATACGCTAGGCAATAGTACACAACATACTAATTATTTATTTCCCCTGAAAATGTGACACAAGTTGTCTTCACAAGATATTCGTCAACCATTGCATATCACAAGGAAGTGGAGAATGAAACTGGTAATCATGCAATTCCATACGAATATATATTGGTCAAACCACCAGATGCAAGCGCCTATGGACTTTTGTGCGATCAGACTGTTCAAACGTACGATGAGAAACGGTTATCTTCACACATGAGATGGATTATGAAAATATGCAGAGAGCAGTTATGAGCTTTGGACATGACAGTCTTACGACGGTGCATTTTCCAACTGAAACTACACAGCAGGTTTATTGTTAAGTGCACGGCCGTCAGGCAGAAAATAACTGGACATGAACTCTAACGATGTAAAAGGGTCCAAAATCGTTTTAAGGTATCGCAATAAACGCATTTGTTTATATGAATTATTTATAATATTTACAAATAGTCTCATAATTTCAATTGTTTATATTTAGCCTGGCGTTTAATCATCAATTACCGATAACATGTTATTACTCTTCCCGTTGTTTCTCTTCGAGTCAAATAATGCAGAACGATCATAAAAAAACATCACATTTAAAATGATCATATCTTGAAAGGTACATTTCGTATAGGAACTAAATTCACCAGAATCATAGGATTTATCCAGAAATGATACAGGGTGCTTTCTAAATTGTTACAGAAGGTGTTCAACATGCGTTCTGTCATTTTCAACCAACATATCACGTTTTTCCTCAAATGAAGCTATTGTAATCGTCATGTGTTTTAAATAATGTTCACCGATTCTTGCATTTTTTTCCAACTGTTTTTTCAATAATTATCCTGTACAATTTCAGTTATCATGCCTCATTACAAGCTTTTATTTTTCTAGTATCTTTTTATAAACTGAAGAAAACCCACGAAATTTGGTTAAAATATTGCTACAATGGTCAGACACTAAGCCTAAAATAACCATTAATATCAAATTTGAAGTAAAAATTAACACTGATTCCTTTTATCTCCTTAGGTAAACTTCGCATCCTCTAGTTTCACGTAAACCAAAATAACACTCTAGAGAAAAGGCTAAAAGTGAAGAAAGATTGCTTTCCAACGATGTTCTTTGAAACATTATTTGTTGGTGGAGTTACAGGATCCGATGAAAGAAGCCGGTTTTACTCCCCATTTTTTCTAACTCAAGTGGGTTTACTGGTATGCATCCAGATGGCGCTGTCTCTCGGATCTCCTGCAGGTAAGGTCAAGAACAAAACGCAGCCTCAATATAAATATTTTACAGTGAACTTATGTTCACATTATGGCATTGGTGTAAACTAAAATTGTTTGTATTGTAGTAGTAGTAGTAGTATGGAAAAAATCTCAATATAAAGGTTTTCAAGCGTCAAATTCACCTTATAAACTTAACATCATCAGGTTTTATTTCTTTAACGTTTATAAGAACGTTTTTTGGAAAGATCTTAGCTAATAATTTCTAATCCCGCACTTTTCTACGTAGAGCTTATGTACTAATTTTCAACATGATAACCTCACTGGCACACACTCACTTATATATTTCTTTAATAACACCTAATAGAAACTTTTTTAGGACAGATATTTTCCCGATTAACACTGTATATAAACATATTTCTGAAAGATTCTACGTAATACTTGTTAATATGAGCATATTCTCAGCAGATGCTATTTATAACCTTTGCTTTGTCTACAGACGTCATTTATAACCTTTTCTTTGTCTACAGATGCTATTTATAACCTTTTCTTTGTCTACAGATGTTATTTATAACCTTTACTTTGTCTACAGATGTTATTTATAACCTTTTCTTTGTCTACAGATGTTATTTATAATCTTTTCTTTGTCTACAGATGTTATTTATAACCTTTTTTGTCTACAGATGTTATTTATAACCTTTACTTTGTCTACAGATGTTATTTATAAGAAAGGTTATAAATAACATCTGTAGACAAAGTAAAGGTTATAAATAACATCTGTAGACAAAGTAAAGGTTATAAATAACATCTGTGGAAAAAGTGAAAGAAATAACATCTGTAGACAAAGAAAAGGTTATAAATAACATCTGTAGACAAAGTAAAGGTTATAAATAACATCTGTAGACAAAGCAACAAACATTTGCTATTCAGCCTGCAGATCGAACAGCTATTATAGGCGATACAATTGTTCTACCATGTCGAGTGCTATATAAGAAGGGGGCTTTACAGTGGACGAGAGATGGATTTGGACTTGGTTCTGAAAGGTCACTAGCAGGATTTCCTCGATACACTATGGTCGGCAGCGACGAGGAAGGTGAATGTTACCACTTTAATCTCTCTCTATAGAAATGGTTGCAGGTAGAGAAAGGTCTTCAAGCAATCTTGATTTAGAATCCTCCTTAAAAGACCAAATTACAGGAGCTTACCACTTCTTTCTGCTCTTCCATTGGACTTAGCAAGATAGAGCAATTATTTCTTATCTCTTAGTAAAGGCCCGGCATGACCAGGTGGTTAGGGCGCTCGTAATCTGCGGGTCGCGGGTTCGAATCCCCGTCTTACCAAACATGCTCGCCCTTTCAGCCGTGGGGGCGTTATAATGTGACGGTCAATCCCACTATTCGTTGGTTAAAGAGTAGCCCAGGAGTTGGCGGTGGGTGGTGATGACTAGCTGCCTTCCCTCTAGTCTTACACTGCTAAATTAGGGACGGCTAGCGCAGATAGCCCTCGTGTATCTTTACGCGAAATTCAAAACAAACTCTTAGTAAAACAGCTGAGGTAAAATTTAGTATAATCTTCAAAAAATGTGTATCTTGATAAAAAAAGAGCGTAAAAAAACGTATAATATAACTCTAACCTTCCTTTTTTAACGAAAACCTAAAACTATATTACATAAGCAAGTATTAGATGCTTTAAACGCGAAAAGTTAATGAGATTATAATTAAGTTTTTGTACAGTTATCTTCAGAGATACTGAAACATAGAGCCGAAGGCGTACATCGCCATCAAATACCCACTATGTACATTTACTATTAACAATGGAAAGTGGAAATACATTTACTATTAACAATGGAAATAAAGCAATGAGCTTTATAGTATAATTGTTACTTTTCGTTTGTTTAAATTTACGTGTTGTCATTAGATACAATGTAAAATATATTATTGTTGATCTTTCTTTATTATTTTCTCTTGTAAATTGTTTTCACAAACCCGTACAGCCGCCAAAAAGATGGCTGATGTTTGATGCGAACACTAGTGTTGTTTTCTCTGCTTTTTATTTACGCCATCTTATATCAATAGTAGTGACTTCGTCGTGTCACTTCTCACCACATTGGTAATAACGCCACCTTCTTTGCGACATTTCATCACGACGTTAATCGCGCCACCTAGCTCATCAGGTAGAGATGTCATTACTTTTCATTGCCTGAACCATCTAATATACAATACTATATACTTTTCTTTGTGAATACGTGGAAGTTTACAAAAAAAAATATATATACAAATTTGATAATGAATAACTAACTCTAACCTTTTAAACCACAGGCTACAATTCTTTAAAAATAATTTCGTTTCCAAAGAAACAAAATATTTAATACCTCAGGTACCCAAACTTTTTAATGTTTAATGAAATTATTTTTGGAGTAATTTTGTTTAGAATGCTTAACTTCAATTTTAACTCATAAAATATTTACGTGCCAACACATCATATTCAAAACAGTTGTATAAACTAAAATTAACTAACTAAATTTTTATAAAATAACACTGTCAGACTTCTTTATTTTTTTGTTGGAGATAACTTGAAAAACATAGTTTAGCTGGCTATTTAATAACGATCGCTACTTTATTCTTGCTATTCGTGTGAACATTAAAAACGTGTATTACGTGGATCAAAATACAGTAACAGTAGCACATTTGATCCAAAGACTTAGTCTGGTAAAACGTATATATTGAGTAGATTTAAACATTATCTTGTACATTGTAAATTCTCTGAAGTATTTAATATTTAGATGGTTTTGATACCATCATTTATATTTATAACATTATTTCTACAGGGGATTTTTCACTACAAATTACTAATGTAAGCCTCGAAGACGATGCTGTGTTTCAATGTCAAGTAGGAGCCTCTGACAAGGTTAAGGGAATTCGGTCTCGAAGCGCGGTCTTCACCGTATATGGTAAGATCAGTTGTTTATCAGTGCTTCTGATCAAAAATAAATCTCTTAAAATGATAAATGTTGTTTAAGTCTTGATTTATCCTATTTGTAGTTTTATTTATAATTTTTTTGTGGGTTCTTACATGCAAAGATATCAGTGGTATGTTCACCATTGGGAATCGAACCTCGGATTTTAAGATTCTAATATTATAAGCCTCAAGCCACTGGGGATCCTATAGTCTTATATCCAAAAGCTAGAAGCTAATATTATTAAAATTCATTTAATATGACATCTTATTTTAGAGAATAAACGTGTAGAATATATGAATATTATCAGGGTTAGATTGTACTGTAAAAGTTCTGTAACATTCTTAGTGTATGGAACTAAACCTTAAAAAATTATTTTAAAGAGGGGGCCGAGGATTATCTTTCATTACGAAGACTTGCTGATGTTACTTAATCCGATTTTGATACAGAAATCGTTTGATATCTACAAGTTTGAGATGTCTCAGGTCGGTATAAAACCGTTTCATGACATGGAACACATTATGTCATATATTGTAATTAAGGATTTTCGTGCTTTTCGTATTATTATTATTAGATCGAAGTTAGAATAATAATTATAAATAATGATAATTCTCTCTGTCTGATATGATCATATATATATATAGTAGTGCCTTTAAATATATATTGCTGCATTTACGACAAAAACATTTGGCATCTACTAAAATGTTCAATTTCGTGGATGTTGCGTTGTCACAAAACGTCCCTTCGTGGAACAGCGGTAAATGTACAGACTTACATTGCTAAAATCCGGGGTTCGATTTTCTTTGATGGACACGACAAACAACCTAATGTGGCTATGATAAAAAAAAAACGAAACGTTACAAAACATTGAACGACTTTTTACGAGAAAGGAAAATAGAATAATGTTAAAGCGTTTTTATCATATATTATGTCTTCTATTCAGAAATTTAGGCTTATTGATGGCTCAGTGAATAGAACTTGCTTGTTATCTGATACAGACGCCGGATCTTAATATAAATGTCCAAGGAAATTATTTCCAAACAAAGCTAATCCTCTTAAACAGACGTTTCTAACTGGGATACTGTTAAGTAAATTACATTTGATAACCCTTCTTATCTTCGTCACCCTGAACACTTACTGAGATGAAAATCATCTCAACCCTCATTGTGAGAGCTGAGAAAATGACGTACGATCATTCACTGTTCTACTACTTATCAGATTACGTCAACAATACAGTTTAATGTTCTGTATACCGACTAATGGAGTTTAGTGATAGTAAAATAGCAAGATTTATCATCAATTAGTTGTTAGTTTTATTCTCAGACACAGAGAAAAGAGACCAGACATTTTCTGACATTAAAATACAGTCCAAAAAAAAAAACGTGGCAAACTAAGAAATAAAAAATACATTGAACAATGTGTTTTTACCTAATAGATCAGTTATTTTTATTAATGCTATTAGCAGTTTTAACATCTGAAAATATGCTCTGGATAAAAGTGGGTAAAGTGTGTTAGAAATGTACACGATTTAAGTTTATGGTAGTTTTATTCTTATGGGCATGTATGTACTCTACATCCATGTTATGATATTAATTCTGTGGCTATTTATAATAGCTTCACAACAATAAGTTTGTACATGTGTTGAGAGAAGTATTCTTAAGAACGTTTCGTTTCATTATTTTGTATGTTGTTCATGCTTTCACCCATTATGTTTACTTACTTTAGTTGGCTTACCTTTTAAGTTTGTAATAGCTTATAATTTGATGTTTATTATATGATACCAACACGTTTATATATTCGTATTACATGAAAACAAAGTTAGTCATAACAATAATAATACTGTGCAACATTGTGGCAGATAAACAGTAAGTCCGATGTAAAAATAATATAGTTTAATTAAAAATTCACTGTGAAAAGCACAAAAAATGTTGTTGTTTTTTTATATTGTGAAATAAATAGAATAGTAACACAAAGCATCTTATACTTACCAATAAATGATGTCTCGCCAAACGACAATTATATTTTGTTAGAAAAAAAATATGAAAACAATTTTTCTGAGCTGGTTAGATTAACACACTAGCAACAGCTGTTTATTTTTAATTTGTCACTGTCAAAATAAATGTTCTGGACTATATTTGTTACTGGCAATCTCTTTGCTAATCCATCTGATGTAGTGAATGTTAAACTCCACCAACTTCAGTTCCTCGTGCAAATCATGACGTATTAACTTTTGGAAGAGTGTTTCTACCATGACAGTAATAGGAAATGAACTTGGAATTAGATGTTTTTTTTATTTAATAACATGAAAATTTACGATGTGATGAAATATTCTAATTAAAACAACAGAGGCATGATTTAAAGGAATTATGGGTTGACATCCAAAGGTTCGTGAAGGGTATATATATATATATATGTATATATATATAATAACACAAGTCAAACATGAATTCAACTTTAAAGAAATCACGGTTATTTTTGTTTTATTGTTTGTTTGTAATTAAGCACAAAGATATATCTGTGCTCTGCCCACCACGGGTATCGAAACCCGGATTCTAGCATTGTAAGTCCGCAGACATACCGCTGTGCCACTGAGGGGCTTTTGTTTTATGTCCCTCAGATGTTTAAGGCAGTAAAGGTTGCGATTGTACAGTGGATACGTGTGAGTTATCAAAATAACACACTATTGCACTTTTTTCTAACTGATGACAAACATATATTATTGATAAAACAACAATAAAATTATGACATTTCTCAGTTGTGATAATCTTCATATGGCTGAACTTCAAAGCCATAAGATATAATGTTTGATATTTATAGGGAGATATTGTAACATTGTGTTAAAGTTAAATAATTCCGCAATTCATAATTTGATAAAATAGCAACCTTTTGTTTTGAAGTTCCCCCAGAACCCCCTCGGATAATTCAACGAGATTATTTGGAAACTACCGCTGGTATGTCAGTGGAACTGACATGTGAGTCTAACGGAGGGAAACCCACTGCTGAGGTATGTGTACTCTAGAGACCTGTGTTGTAAGAAGATGGAAAGTTTCAAACAGTAGGAATCTTTCTTGTAAAGAATTATGTATCGATTGTTCAAACAATGTTTGCAAAAATAAAATCAGAACTACACTTATGATTTCTAATTTCCAAACAATGTTTTCATCAACATTAACCGAATTGTTA